CAATACAATACAATACAATACAATACAATTTTTCTGTCAACCAAATATATATAGCTGAAACTGGCTCACAAAAAGCTGGGACCTTCCATTTCCAATAGTGAAAGTAATCAACTTACTTTCAGCTTATCCTCCCCTGCATACTAGGGAAAGTGCATCCTGTGTTTCACTGTAGCCTACTGAAACCAGCTCTTGGGTCTAGGTTAAGACCTCAGACCCAGCCACCCCCTCCACCTATAGTAGTGCAAGGAGAAACCCATTATGAAGTGAAAATTTTTTGGACTCTATGTTATATAGAGATCGTTTACAATATTTGGTTCATTGGAAAGGGTACCATTTGTCTGAAGCTACCTGGGTTAAGAATTGGGATGTAAAGGCAGATAGGCTAGTCAAGCAATTCCATGAAAAGTACCCTGATAAGCCAAAGGGTCCCCCCCCGGGGGGGGGAGAGGTGGTTAGGCTTTTGATTTTAACCTCCTGTGTTATTATTGTTGCAGGACATGATCTTCTGATGAGGGGGCAGGGGGTGGCCTGTCAGGCCTGGAAGCCATCTTTGAATGACTTGAACTTTCATTTGGGTGGGGAAAACCTGGAAGCTTTCAGATTCAGGTTTTCCCAGATGTGCCAATATGACATCTCTAATAAAATGGAACTTTGAGGAAAATATCAGGCCTCGGAGTCTTCTTTCGTTGGGGATGTTACTTGGAAGCCTGACACCTGGTGCAATTTAATGATTTTAATTTACAAAGAGAAAACCTGGTTACAAATACTGCTACTTCTCCTTCTTCTTTTCTTTCCTGGCCTCACTTTTTTCCTTCTTGCTTTTCCTTGTCATCTTTCCTCTCCTTCTTCCTCTCCTCCTTCTCCTACCCCTCCTTCTTCTCGGTATTTCCTGGCAACCACTGGGCCATGGCCTGGTACCAGTTCATGGTCTGTTAGGAGCCGGGCTGCACAGCTGGAGATGAGTGGTAGGCAAATGAGTGCAGCTGCTCCCCAGTGTTAGCATCACCGCCTCTGCTCCACCTCAAATAATCAGGCATTAGATTCTCATAGGAGTGAGAACCCTACTGAAAACTGTGCATGTGAGAGATCTAGGTTGCACGCTCCTCATGAGAATCTAATGTCTGATGATCTGAGGTGGAGCTGAAGCAGTGACACTAGCACTGGGGAGCAGCTGCAAATACATCCTAAAACCATCCTCTCCCCTGCCCCCCTCCCCCGGACCATGGAAAAATTGTCTGCCAGAAAACCCATCCCTGGTACCAAAAAGGTTGGCGACCACTGTTTTTGCACACACTGGAGTGTTAAGATAACATACTCTAAATAGGCCAAGCTGTGTTTGAAAAGCTAGGAATGATGGGCAGAGAGAATATTTCATAGAGAATTTGCAACACAAATTGCTTTTAGGAAATGAAAAAGAAAAGAAAATGTTCAGGAAGCACAAGTAAGATCTTCTGCGTGTTGAGAAAAGCTTTCAAGATTGCCACCAGTACACCACTCTTAAGGCCTTGATTATATGCAAAGCCTTTTATACAATGGTAAATTATCCAATATGTGTCTAGTTTGGCTCCAAAATCCAGTTACCCAGCTTTCTGGAGACACAGGGAAGTTGTAAAGTAGCATACCCTTTTTTTCACTTTTATCTTGCTCACTCTCAGGGTTATATAATTCATCGTCATGATCAGGTGCATCAGTCAAGATATCATCAAGAACATTCAATTCACCATCTATGAAGAAATAACAAATGATGTTTATATATAATAAAGTATAATTTTTTAAAACTTGAATGAAAAGCTACTACAGGCCATTATCCTACACATTTTTATTAGTACCATTCCTTGTATATTCCATTCAAGTTTATCTAGAATCAAAGTGGAAACTAAGTACTGAGTTCTTTGTTTAAATAACTACCGTGTTTCCCTGAAAATAAGACCCGGTCTTATAAAATTTTTTGCTCCAAAAGATGCATTAGGCCTTATTTTCGGGGAAACATGGTATCAGGGTGATCAGCCCAGCCGGGCACCCCATCCCCTGCATGTACACAAGACGCAGCAAGCACGTGGGGACTGATGGTGTTCAGCAGCAGCTGCAGCCTGCCGGCCCCTTGGCTGGCACACTCTTGAGCTGCACAACCCATGCAGTGCAGGTAAGTCCAAGCACTGCAACTGCCGGGCCATCCCTCCAAACAGCAGGCAGAAGCAGAGGCACATGGGTGAGGCATGCTGTATGCACTACGCAGCCCCCTTGCTGCGGGCAAGCAAAGACAGATGGTGGGATGGAGTGGGCAGGCAGCCATTGTCCTGCATGTTCGACACAGCTGGAAAATGACATTAGATGGCAGAGGCAGAGCATGCAGGGGCCCTGGCATGGTGCCACCCTCGCCTTGCCACCTGCCTCACCGTGGTCGCACTGACAGCAGGTGGAGGCAGAGACACGGGTTGCCCACTCTGTGTTCAGCAGCTGCTGCAAGCACATTTCAGGCAGCCATGAACTCATCTGGCCCTCAGTCCCTCACAAGCCACCGACAGGGAAGAACCTTCAGCCAGAGCAGCCTGGTGTAAATTAATGCTTTTAATTTACAAATGGAAAACCTGGTTACAAATACTACTACTTTTCCTTCTTCTCTTCTCTTCTTGGCCTCGCTTTTTTCCTTCTGCTTTTCCTTGTCATCTTTCCTCTCCTTCTTATTCTCCTCCTTCTCCTGCCCCTTCTTTTTGGCATCTCTGTTGGCAATCTTGTTGATGAGGTTGTGCAGCTCTACCACCAAACAGATGAAGTGAGGCAGTGGGTGGCAGCACGGTGTGGCCCCCGCACGCTCAGCCCCCGCCGTCCACCATCGTCCTTCAGCTCCACCGCACATGCGGGATGAGCCTCCCACGTCCACTCGCCCACTCCATCCCACCATCTTTGCTTGCCCGCAGCCGCATACGTTGAATAAATGGGAAGTAATAGGATATAAGGCAATAAATAATTGCATAACACATTGTGTCAGAATCCTTACCAGAGAAGGGTTTATCCCCCTGCCCTTGCTGATGTCACTGGCAATGTCTGGCTGTCAGGTGTGTTAATAAATAACTTCACATTATGCCTAGATCAGGAACTCAAGCGCCTTTTGCCACAAAATTATATAATCTGATGAACACTCTCAAAGAATAATAATTTTAACTGTTCTAGAGGGCAATTCCGAGTCCACTCATCATTAATACCACTTGCTTCTTTGTATTATGCTACAAATAGTCCTCACTGAATGACCAGTCATTTAGCAACCATTCAAAGTTATGACAGGCGCCCCAAAAGGTGCTTATGACCTGATTTCGAAGTTCTGACAGCCTCACACCCTGCCCCACGTGATCACATTTTGGACACTTGGCAACTTACTCACCTTTATGGCCACTTGCAGCATAGCCACATGACCATGATTTTTGAGGTTTTTGCCACTTTCCAATGTTTTCTTGTGGTTTCCAGCAAAAGCCACCCATTGGATAACACAGGTTTACTTAATGACCTCAGAATTTGCTTAAGAACCGCCACAAAAAAGGTCATAAAATTGGGCGGGGTTACATGGTGACCTGCTTAATAGCTGAAATGACCTATGACCAACCACAATTCTGAGTTTAATTACAGTTGTAAATAAAGCTCTCTCTCTCTCTCTCTCTCTCTCTCTCTCTCT